GCAGAATGCAGATTAGATTATTGAGAGCAGATTCAAGCGAAAGATAGCTAAAAGCGGCGACAACTATTTCCAATTGCTCCGTGCATTTCCTCAAACCCCGTTTCCTTGTCATCTATTGACCTTCGTGTGAATTTCTCCAATCCGGAGAAACAGTTATACATAAGGCAGGGTGAGGTTGACGTCAGTTAGGCTTATTAATCATTGTAAGCTAACCGACAAAGCCCGTTAATCATAATTCAGTGCGATAACGAAGTTTTAACCAAATACAAGTCTAACTAATCCGCTCGATCTACCCCACCTACACCAGACTCCGTAGACATGGGCGGTCAAAAATTACTACTTCATGCGCAAACCCAGTGCCATAAGAACGTAAAATAGAACTGTTCGTATATTGGGAACTGTTAAGGAAACGTCACGTGGATATCAACAGTATCAGTACCGCATACGTCGCTCGATCCATGGATTTGCTTGTCGTTACTTCCTTGATTAAGCCACCATCATCTGTCATGCTACCAATCAAAGTAGGAGAAGCAAGTCACTATCGATAATTCCTGACCTCCAAGTAACAAGCCGATGAAAAATATGAGAGTACAGCGACCCCAATAGATGGGTATACTTTTGAAGCATTCATTTGAGAAGAAGAGAACCAAAAAGAGCCTCACGACCGATCGAGTCCAGAGCTCCTTCAAGGTCAAGCGGCACCGTGATCGTTTTTTGTAGCGTAACTCGAGGACTTGACACTGCCTAACTCTTTGATCAATAAAAACAAGACTAGTTTGGAGTCCTGCCCGTTGTTTAAGGATATTCATCACTCTTAGTGGCGTTCGGAAGAGGACTATCACAAAAGTTTTGTACGTACTGCCAAGCAGTAGTGTGTGTGTGTGTGTGTGTGTGTGTGTGTGTGAATGAGATGGGTTTGCATGTGACACGCACTATTGTTTATTGTACACTTGTTTGTCCATCGATCCCACGTTACTCACTGGAGGCCATGACTGCGAACCGACAGCAATGGCGAGCTTGCTGTCACTTCTTATCAGACCAGAATGCTTGAAATGGTATCTATGCACATTTGAACTGTGTACTCTGTGTGTTGACCATAGAGGTTCGCTTTCTTTCCCCGTCCCTAAAAATAGGTCTAATTCCTGTCCTCCTTACACATTACACTTACCTTGTATGCAATATGAGTTTGGCAGCGATCAGTGAAGTTCGCTTCACTGCATTTCGCTGTACATTGATGATGCTGATGCTGATGATGTTACTCATTTTTGTGTGCATTCATTGAATAATGCTTGCCTATTTCGACGTACCGATGGAATAAGTTAGTTGAACGGTGAGCCCAAAGCATCAGAAAATAAACCGTGAATCGAATGGCTTGATAGTATTATGCAGCCGCTTCACGCTTATTGGGTCGCATTGGCAGTGAAAATCCAGTAAGCCGTGAACTATCCATGGGATTTCCAGTCCCAGAACCTATTTCACAAAATCTATATATGATATACCAGAACTCCTCATTGAAATTAGAGCTTCATGAAGTTTGCGGAAACAATTTTTGTGAGATCACAAAGTGATTGCATACAGTGGTTCATATTAATTTCATTGTTGCCTTGACGTTATGCTGTACAGTGATGTTTATGCATCAGTGATAGTATCCATTCATTCAAATTTTGCGTTTGTCTGAAACACACGTTTGGTGTGTTTCCTCATAAGAAGATAACTCAAAATGTTTTTCTTTGCGCTTCGTGATTCACGATGTGTGGTAATTGGATTGTGAAGATTGCATTGCCAGTCCATTTAACATGCAAACTGCTGTAGCGACGAATCAATTCTTTCTTTTTATTTCCTTTTATTGAATTATACTTTATGATACAGTTAGCTGTAGTCCTGTTCCCGTGAAATGTAAGCAGCTGAATCTCAAGCTTATCAACTCGTGCTACAAGTTACATTCATCGTTGTGTAATTCATTAACGCGGGTGTACCATTTAGGAAGGTTTGATTGTAGACAGCTTCACTATCGCACGACTTGATATCTTATCTGTTTGCATTCCTTCTACTTTTCATCACATTTAGCTATGTAATAAAACGAAACAAACCAAATCCGAAAAATGACATGCGCTACCATAGTTCCAAGCAGCTAAAATCCCAACTTTGGTGTGCTATTCATCATTTGTCTGTCGCTGCCTCAGTGAGCTTTGAATCTTGTCAGTGGAGTAGGAGCGTTATACTTCCCCCATCCTGAAAATTGCATCATTGTGTATTCGATAAAAGAAAGCAAAACTGGAAAAGAAATCTCAGTCATGGGACATCTTTTTTATCACATAATCATTCCTTCGTTTTTTCAGCTGGGAGCATTCATACTCTGAATCGGACGCACCCCCGTGACATGACAGTTGGCCGTACGCAAGAGGCGGACAGTCTTGGCATTCGACGAAGCGGTTCCGCTCAAATGTCACTGGCCACTGCTGTGAGCTCCTTTTTTGTAAACTGTTTTTCACTGCCGTTTGAACTGACTCCTGGACTGAGTTGCTCGCTACTATCACACAGTAATCATCATCCTCTCCATCGCACCATTATTCGTTCATTCGTGAATATGTTTGGCATTGTGACCTTGGAGGCGCGAGTGATGCAATCTTCGATATGCAATACGCGTATCGACGGATCACCTTCCTCGGTGTGCGTTTTCTGCGCAGGTGAACTGCGATTCGATGAAAGTTGCCCATGGGAAAACTGACATCTGCCGTGAAAGTATGAACACCATCATTAGGACACAGGGTTAAAGGTTGCATTCGGTTTCCCCTTTGTGGAGTTTTTACGCATATCTAGTTTACACGCATTCCTTAACAGTAATTTTGCTCAGTTCTCCATTGGTTCTCCGAATCGGTAGCCGAAAAGCACCAACCGAAACCAGCACACGGAAGTGCAAAGCCAGTGATTGTACAAATTGATGCTAGTTTTTCCAATCTCACTGATGTGGAAAATAGTTTCACTACTGCGTTCATCCACCGTGACTTGTACTTTTCTCACTAGGGTACTCAGATTCACCTCATCATTGTTGTCACGGATGCACCTAGTGTCGGCTTGTTTCAGTCATTGAGAGCACGTGAGTGCTTGATTTTAGCGGATAAAGTACGCCAATAAGACCAAGGATGGAATGACATTAATTAGGTGCAAGACAAAGTTAGCAACTGTCTGTAGCAGTAGTACATGATAGTTTTGCGCACCCCTGACTGGCACTATCTTGGTTTGTGATTGCGCAAACTATCAGGTTGGTACCAAATGTTATCTTTTGAACAGACCTTGATGTTTACTTTGCTAATCGGTCTTCGTAAACTGCTATTATTTTACTCTAAAATTTGATTCAAATTGACGATCTTTCAACCTTGAGCTTCACGCACAATCTTCAATGAACAAACAAAAAATATTCCTTTCCTCACTCGTGGAATCAGTTGCTCATTGTTCTGTTCGTGTTTTGTCCTTTATGATTATTTTTCACGACATATATTTAATTAAAAATTAATGCTCACTTCATATTAATAGGTAGCGAGAAAGCGGAAGTCAAATGAGTTCGAGTCGAGCCGCGAAACGTCTGCGAACAACATTTCCAGATCGGAGAACTCACCAACACCAGCATCCGCATCCCGAGCTATAGTCATTCCACATCATATCCAAAGTCAATAACACTTTTCGAAAAACACTACTCACAAGTAGCTATGAGATGTGAATGTTAATATGGTATTTGTGCCGCTCACTCCATTCGTTTATTGCATACTGCACACCTAAGATGAATTCATTTTTCTAAATGATGATCTTCAGGCTGTGTTATCTGTAACCATAGGTACATGTAATTCAGTAACTATAACCAATAATAGTGTAACCACAACTGATTGGTTGTTCAAACAACTTCTTTTCACGTGCGTTACAGGGCCACGCCAGTTCCACCGGACAACTGTACAGCACGGTCCCTCGAGGCGCAGATTCTCACGATGGCCGATCTCAGATAAGTCGAATGACCAGTGAAGTAGGTGGGGGCCGCAGTCTTTCATATGCAACCGGTGGTCGGGGTAGTTCCACAAACAATTCCCGTGCTCATGATTACATCAACTATCCTAAAGGTCAACCAGCCGGTGGTTGGCATGACGAAGGAGGTTCAATGTTAAGTGGATCTGTTGTGAGCAAATCCACCGTTCGACGATCAAGCATCAGTTCGCGTCAATCGGATCGACGCAAAGATCGTCGCCCGCTATCTCCCGTCTATGTGAATGCCCCAGCTCGTCCGGGTGATGCAGGCGAGACCCCAAGCGAATTGGATCAGGTCAGTTCCACTTGGCACACCAGTGATCGGTCTTCTAGTCGCAGAAATCCTCCAAGAGGCGGGGTCCCGGTACTCGGAGGTGTTATGCTCCCCTCCCAAAGCTCTCGAAGCAGCCAGGGTGTTACTCCCATTCCTCGATCCAGGCATCGCCAGCAGCATATACAAGAAGAATTCGAACCTGAGCAGTTAAGCGATGAAGCAGAAGAAGTGGAATATTACGCGTCGGAGGAATCGCATCAGGAACAACATCATTCACATACCAATAAACACAGACAGCCAAAGTCGCCGGCCAATCAGATTGTAAGTTTACGGTAACACGGTATTCACAAATCATTGTTTCGAGAAAGCATTGATTACAGATCAATTTCTCGTCTGAAAAATGCATTGTCTGCTACCGTACTTTTACAAGTTTTGCCTGTACTGTGCTGTCTGGCTGTAATTCGTTTTGACTCGGTGTTGTTCCGTCTATTTGTGAGCTTGGCGAACACCAAATTGCCTAGGCAAGACAGTTTAGACGGAAGTTTGGTTGATGATTTCTGATATTCGATAGGGGCATGATACATCTGATTTAATCCAATGACTTTAGCTGAATGATTTTGGTTCGCTTTGCGTAAATCAATGTGCGCTTGAAAACAGTTCGTCAGCTGTTACACTTCGGTTTGAGTGAGGTCTCCCACTTCCGGTTAACGTGCAAGAGTGATTTGTAGTCCTGTGTTAAAATGACTGAAGGATCCCAATGAATTTTTTCTTCTGAGCACAAGGTGTACATAAAACCAATCTTTACAGATACGGCACCAAAACCTAGGGTTGTTTGCAATAATTTTATTGCCACCCTTTCCGCTATCGTAGGAAACCAATTCACTTTTGCTACGTTCTGTGGTATCGTGTATACGATCTTGCGTGGTAGCCGATATTCATGAAACGTATCGTATTATATTGCATATGGTTCTCTCGGTCCCTGTTTGCATTTCAGTCAGCGTGCATCATGCTGTACCCATATACACTTAGAGGAAGAAGTTATCCAAAACGAACTTATTCACATTTGTATTGCTTTGTCATTGTCGCAATAATTTCACCAGTCGACTGATTCCGTGGGAATCCTATTAAAGCAGGGAACTTGTGATATTCCCATACGACTTTACCTCTACTGTGATGAAACCTAAGCCACTGAATTATTTGACTATCGACATTTTCTCTCTGTTGGAGTTGACGTTCAGAAAACGCTTAATTATTCCCCCCTTTCAATTCAATACTTTTATTTCAGTCCCGAAGACACCATGCCAACGCCGAGTTAATGCTCTGAATTCGACAGTATTCCTAATTCCTTTGGATGTACGCATTGCCCTTTTGAACCACTCCGCACCTTCCTCCCGACCTAGCCCTCGCCCATCCTGTTCTCGTTCCCAACTCACCTCCACGGATTCCAGAGATGCGTCGTTAGTCTGTTGTTCTCTGTACAACCCAGCTCAGGCAGAAGCTGTTTATTCGTCAATCATCACCTAGTCTGCCTTTCATTTCGCTGTTATCAAAAAGCGCTTTACTCTCGTACTCCCATTTTGATTTGTCAGTTTTTCGTTTTCCGTACACAAAATTCCCATCACCGGAAATCGTTATCTTTCTAACCAGGGTGTTCCAACAGGTATGCCTGTTCGCACATATCAATGATTTCTAAAGGCTGTAAATGAACCTTTCCTTTTCGACCAAAGCACATTTCGTCTGAATAAGCTTTCACTTGTCTTGTGGACCTGATTTCCATAAGCACCGGTACATATCCGAATCATCAGTCTCTCGTAATTAACCCAA